TCTTGTCATGGTATATCAACGACTTTTGGAAAAAAACGGAGAATCCAATATATTGCTTTGCTGACCACAGCACACTTGTCCCATCATTTCACTTGGATTCCAGGACATCGGCTACGGATACACATCTTCACCAGCAGCAGGATGTTGTATATTTTGATTAGGATCTAGAAGTGATTTCAAATTGGGGTGAAACTAACCGGTTGAATTCAATGCCAAAAAAAACTCAGGCATCGGTTTTCTCCAGAAAGATGAAAGCCTCCGAACCGGATATATTAATGTTAAGGTAAACAATTACGTTTTCTGCTTCGATAAGTTCGTTGGGGGTTCAAATGGAAATCTATATGTCTTGGAACAATCATGTCACTGAAATTGCAAATGCTGTTTCTCAAAAACTTGGAACACTATTCTGAAGCAGAAAACTGTACACCCCCAGCAACTTTTGATGTTTTATAAGGCTCAGATCAGAACTTCTTTGATGTATTGTTCTTATGTATGGAGCTCAGCTCCTAAGCATACCCTGAAGCTGCTGGATTCAATCCAGAAAGAGGCCATCCGCCTAACTGGAATATTGAAAAAAGGTTGTGGATTTGTCTCTCTTCTATAGATACTTTCACGGGAAGTGTTCGAGTGTCTTAGCAAATTTGATTCCATCAAGACCGGTATCATCACTGTCAGATACATTTCATTTTTATACATTTTCAAAAATTATTTATTTAGTTGAACAGAGGTCATGTATACTACAGTAAACACAACTGTATGCACTGTGTGTATCCGAGCTCAATGTGGGAGCTCAATGTGGAAGCTCGGATACACACAGGGAGAGCGTAACGCGGAACCAGTGAGAAGAGAATCGTACAGTCGCTTGCGCATGGAGACCTGTCGCCACATCATGCCTCGCCACGCCAGCAATCTGTTCAACGTGTGGCTATAGATGTCCCACATCGAAAAGTTTTTTCCTCATCGAAAGTACTGAAAATGATATCTTTTTACTTAAATTCAGTGCGATCTTGATATCTTGTTTCGTTCATCACTGTATACATTTCGTAATGAACATGCCTGATGAATCTATCGTTGTGTTACTTTTCCGGATTTTCTTCCGGAGTTCACCTGTTGGACTATTGGACCGTTGTGGAACAGACTCACGTAGACAACATTCACACAAGTTTCCCACATGATATCGTTCACAGAATTGTATCGTCTTTGAAACAAATTTAGTATTTTTTTTTATTAAATCACAGTTTATGTGAAATATTGTATTGTAGGGAAGCAATTCAACATCACTTATTTCCGCCCTCTATTGCAGTTATTTAGGAAATCATTCAACAAGCAATATTCCATTTTTCCAATCAAAATACCAAATTGAGTAAGTTTGAATGAGATTAACCCAACTGAAAACCTTGGTATCTATATATTTTGAGTCAAAATTAAGTTTCTCAACTCATATAATTAAAACCTCATCTCCACCAAAGAGAATACCAGGATGTATTTTCTGATACTGCAAACTTTCAACAAAGGAGAAGTTTCATTGTTCGTTTTCAACTCATACATAATATCGTGATCAAAGTATAGCTCGCTAATCTATTTAGAAATATATTCTCCTCAGATCTGCTTCCTTCAATCCCTTTAAATACAACTTTTGAAATATATCGGTTACAGAATCAGTGGACTCTATCCAAAACACGATACTGAAAATATTCTATTTCTAACTAGATTGTCATTCTCGTTATCAATCGTCGCAAAACGCCGCCCTGTCATGGGTCTCTTAAATCTCTTCAAAGGTACAGAAAAAAGTCGCAGGGGGTCAAATCTGGTGAATACGGTAACTAAGGCAAAATTACGTTGTTGATTTTGGGCAAAAGAATGCGTCGTTTGCGAGAAGCAAGCTGGGGATTGACGATGATTCCCAACACGGATTGCATGATAGGAAGTGAAAATCAATCGTCCGGCCTTGCGGTTCGAAACACCGGTTCACACAGCGGTCGATTGAGTGAGTGGAGCGATCCACCCACGTCAACCCACCAGGCTACCGCCTGGTGGGCGGTGGTGGGCGATGCATGTTGAAATTTTCTGTAGTACGTTCTATATAAAATAATTTTGTTATCTCAGCCATTTTTGACTTATTGTTTTTCATAATCAATAATGAACATTTTCATACATCACCCGCTTTGCTAGGAATAATACTGTAACAATTAGTGCTTCCAAAATCTACCTGTTTTGCGGCGATTATATTCATTAATCTAATTGAGTCCTGGCATGAATTGTCACACATTTTTCTAATCAAATTTTTTGATCATCTACTGTTATACAGGGTGTAACTAAATAAGTGTAGAACATCTAAGGAAGTGATTCCCCATCGAAAAAAAGATAGGATCTTTCATATAAAGACATTGTATTGTTAAGATACAGCCCCTTAAAAAGGGTACATAAAATTTGTATAAAATTTTTTTTTACAAGTACTGAAAAACTTACAATATTGTAATTAACCTGACGTTTTATACTACCAATAAGACACTTAGCCAGAAATTTATTTGGTTTACCCCATGGTTGTAAGGGGTGGAAAACGCAAACCCTAAAATTTATTTCCAATGTAACTTTTTGTCTTATCATTTGTTTACCATTTAAAAATTTATTTCCGATAACCTGTTCCATTCTAAACAAAAAATATCTCTTGGGTTTTTTGCCCAAAATAAACCAGTTCACAGCAAAAAATTATTTTACGAACAACTACAGAGATACATCGTCATAAATGCGAAAATACGAAACTAATCTATCTAGTAGGTCGTTACTAGCGATAGTGACAATTAAATTGGTATGACGCTGTCAGTTTGCGAATTTTCGAAATTGAATTAATACTAATTGTGTGTTGTTAATTCACTCGTTATTAAAATGGCATACACAAATGAGGAAATGGCTGATATGCATTATGTTTACGATCTGTCGCAGAGGAATGGGTTAGAAGCTTCTAGAAGATATGCTGAAATGTATCCTCAACGGCGGAAATGTATTCTTCACATATAATATCTAATTGACTTCATCAACGATTACGAGAATATGGTTCATTCGACAAAAGAACGCAGGATTGTGGTCACCATCGAGAAGTACGAATACTACAGCTTTAGGAAGCAGTACTTAATTTGATTGAAGAACGACCTACTACCAGTACTAGCTAAATGTTGATCATATGACGGTATCTGGAATTTTAAAGGAACAACTCTTATACCCTTACCATCTGCAACGAGTACAGGCACTGTTACTGCTGGACTTTCCGAACCGTCTTGAATTTTGCAATTGGATGCTGGAAATGATTAAGAAATTGTGACTTTCTGAAGACGATAGAATTCACAGACGAATGTAGTTTTTCTTGGGACAAGATTATTAATTTCCATAATTACCACATATGGGCTGATGAAAACCCTGACGCTATTGTCGAAACTAAGCATCAAAAATAGTTTTCTCTTAACGTGTGTCTCGGAGTTATTGGGGATGATTTAATTGGGCCTCATTTTCTACCTCCTCGATTAAATGGTGAAGCATACGTTCAATTTTTAAGAGAAGTGCATCCAGTACTGCTGGAGGAAGTTCCTTTGGGCGTCAGAAGGAATATGTTTTTTATGCATGATGGGGCTCCCGCTCATTTTAGTCAAGTAGCATGTCAGCATTCAACTGAAATATATGCAAATCAGTGGATAGGTCGAAGAGGACCACAGAACTGGCCCGCTCGATCCACGGATCTCAATCCTCTCGATTTCTCTATTTGGGGCCATTTACAGCATTTGGTTTATCGTACTCCTGTTCTCGATGTAGAGGACTCAAAAAACCGCTTCAACAATGCGTGCAGGGTAATCAGAGAGACTCCAGGAATATTTGAGCGAATACGTGGCTCAATGCGCCGAGGTCTAGACGCATGCGTAATGTCTGAAGGTAGACATATTGAACATATACTATGATTTCTACATGTTGTGTGTTTTTTTATCGATGAATTAGTTTTGTTCATTACCCTTTAATCGTTTAATGCAGGTTCTAACTACAAAATAACAATAAATCCAGTTCGCATTTATGACGATGTATCTCTGTTGTTGTTCATAAAATAATTTTTTGCTGCGAACTGGTTTATTTTGGGCGAAAAACCCAAGAAACACTTTTTGTTAAGAATGAAACAGGCTATCGGAAATATATTTTTAAATGGTAAATAAATAATGAGACAAAAAGTTACATTGGAAATGAATTTTAGAGGTTGCGTTTTCCACCCCTTTCAACAATGGGGTAAACCAAATAAATTACTGGCTGAGTGTCTTTTTGGTAATACAAAAGGTCAGGTTGATTTCAATATTGTAACTTAGTCAGTGCTTGTGAAACAAATTGTTATACAAATTTGTACTCCTTTTAAGGGGCTGTATCTTAACAAGGGATGCTCCAATGAGGTTTCTTTATATGAAATATCCTATCTTTTTTTCGATGAGGAATCATCTCCTTGAATGTTTTACACTTATTCGGTTACACCCTGTACAAATGACATTGTACTGTGAGGGGAATCTCGTCTTAAAAGAAATTTATTGTGAAAACTGTTGAATTCTTGTTGTTTTTTGTTGCATTATTTTCGGAATAATTAGATTGATTTGGTGATTTCAGTTTTTTCTTAAATATCTTGATCATTGTTAGAAAAGATATTGGCAATTACCAGTCTAATCAGAAATCAAATTGACTTCATATCCCCAATTTTTAGATTTCAGGTTGCTAATCGTTTCAAATTACTTCTGATCAGTTCTTGAAAAAAATATCTCTGTACGTGATGATCCAAACTAACACAAGGTAAATGAGTGAGTTACCACCACAAATTTTTGTGGAGCAAATTTTGTTTCCTAAAACAATGACATTCAGTTAGTACATTTATCATCTAGACATACAGCAATGTGTCTTAATATTTACAGTTTTATTTACTGAAACATGTAAATCTACTACACGTCTATCATTAGGTGCTTGCGAGAGGTTCTTGTGTGATTTTCTCATTAAGCATTTCAAATATTTGTCTCGTGACGATAGACAGAATATTTGGTCGGACAACGTTTGTAGTAAACGGGACTCGAAACATTTTTTTCTATCCAGTCAACTACAGCATGGTTTCTCAGTGATATGATGATGGATATCAGTTTCTTGATGCTGGTGTTTCTACCTCTTATTCCCGGTGGAAAATTTTTGCACCGAGAAAAAAGATATGTTATTTTTCCAAGAGGAGGCAGTTATAAGGTGAGTAAAATATTTTTCATACTATTTTCTTTTGTTTCAATCTGAAATTCATTTAAAAAATTTTGGTGTTTTTGAGAAAACCTGATGAAATCAGTGGTATTCCTTTTATTGGTGTGTTCGAGTTTTCGAAATTCCTCAATCTGAAGAATGAATGACTCTGTTTCGATGAAAGAATCTGCATAACGGTAATAAAGATTATATTGAAAAGTTCCTCTCAAAAATCTGATAATTCATCCAAATGAGTATCCAGTTTGTTATATCTAAATGTTTTGCCGGTCAAATAAAAAATAATAACACACATATGTATTTCCAACTTTCTTTCACTATTAACCTTCCATTACTCGCGCCAAATTTTTGTACTTAGTAACTTGCGCACTGTCCAGCAGACCGGCTAGTAAATTATGATATTCCTGAGTGTAATTGATAAGTTGAGAAAATATCAATAATTATCATATGATTTTGGTGCAGAATAAAAGATACTACAAAGATTTTTTTTACAAAATGAATATATGTATTAAGCACAAAAACAATAGTGAAAAGTTTCACAGTACTTGAAAGAAAAAATCAACCTAAATTTTCATAACATACATTACACATTGGTCTAATATGTTCTGAACACAAATATTTTGAACAGTTATGACAGAGGTATTTGATTTTTCTGTTATTCTCCCAATCACAGTCAGCACAGCGGCCCACGGTTCCCGGGATTCTTACTTGAGCTTCAGCTGCAGCTGGTAAACCATACACTTCTCGTAATCTGCTCCTTATGGTCCTTGGCAAATTGGCAGAAACTGCTCTTTCTTTTTTATAGTCGTAGAGGAGGATCATGAAAAGATTCAGAAGAAATTCCTTTCTGAGTGTTTTTGAATCGGGATGGTTTCCATTATAAACAACGAACGCATTTATACCAGTTACATTTAGCATGCTGTAAAAGGGGACCATTGGCCATCTTCTGGTGCCACGAGCACAATCGTATTGAGCACACAATTTATCCACCATGTCTACCCCTCATTTGGTGCGATTACAAGTCATAATAATTTCTGGCTTATTCGTACGACAACCAATGTCATCTCCAAAATGCATTGTTGAAATGAGTAGCACATTTTTACTATTCTCTGGAACGAATGAAACCAGTGTTGTATTATGAGACAAGCCAAACATTGATGAACCGCTAGGTCGGCCAGTATTTTGTACAAATTCCAACGTAAGCTGCCTCTCGTTTTTTCGGATTGTCCCTACGAGGGTTAGTTTATTTGCTTTCAGACCCTCTGCAAGTTCCATACTGGTGAACCAGTTATCTGTTGTAACGTTTCTGTTGGTACCATTGATATGTTGATAAACCCTTTCTACTACTGATTTAGCAGTGGTCTCTGTTCGAAAGGGGTCCTCTGGCTGCTTACCCATATAAACTTCCATATGGCTGGTACAGTACATGAAAGAATCAGAAAGTGCAAACATTTTTATGCCATACTCATTTGGCTTGCTTGGTATATATTATCTGAAGTTACATTCACCTCTAAACGCTTCAAGCTTTTCGTCTATGGTTAAGTGCTTAGAATGTGAGTAACACTTCTTTTGATTATCCTTGAATTTCTCAAACAAAATTCGGATCGGAGTCAATTTATCAATTTGTAATCTCTATACTCTTGTATGAATATCATCGAAACGAAGGCATCTCATTAGAAATTGGAATCGTATCCTGTTCATTCCAAGACGAAATGCTTCCACTCCTCTACCATCTGTTTTCCAAAGATCGCCTAGATTCATATGGTTAGCTTTTCTTACTCCTGCAAGATATAGGATTCCAGTCAGCGCCTTTATTTCTATGAGATTAGTAGTCCTAACATCCCTTTCTCTGGAAATTTTTTGCGAAAAGCTATTTATTTTCATATTGGTGCAGTCCACAATGATATTCAGCATTTCTTCGTCAAACGAGCATAGCCATATATCGAGAGAAGGCTTTTTGGATTTTGCATATGGTTTTACTCCTGGCAATTGTAATACAATATTTGAACTACGAGTTCTTACATTTTTTGGTGGGGCATGCTTTTTCCACATTGTTATCTTGTCTTTTCCTATGAATACTGGTTCTCTGGTAACAGCAACAGGTGTATAATCATCTTCACCATCCTCAAACTCTTACTCGGTGTCACTACTTTTCAATCTTTGCTCTATATTATCTATTTCGCCTTGTTCATCGTCATCATCACCCTCATAATCTTCATCACTTTCCACTTCTTCGGACAACCTCAAAAGTCTTTCCTGCTCCTTTTCGTAGTCCATATCTATAATGAAAATCGTTGATTATATAGTTTTTTTCTACACACGTACTCTAACAATACACTTATATGACCATAATCCGTTTCATAATGATATCCATTATGATACAGATTTTTCATAAAGATACTGATTATCAACCAATAGAAACCCATAATTTTTCAATCAAGAATCCTGTTCCTTTGTTTGTCCTAGATTCTAACCTAAGTAACTATAGTCTATTTCAAAAGAGTGTAGAGTAATAAATCATGAAGTGTCATAAAATTTGCCTGAATTTCGTTGTCGTCCATGGGCGTAGGCAAATCTTAGGATTATTAAACTTAATAATTAAAGTAAATTAAAAATTACAGACATAGATAATAATAAAAGGCCATTTTTGGGAAGTAATTTGGTCTAAAACTAAGTACCTACATGTATTTAGGTAAGTAAAATTTCTTAAAAAAAGATTAAGATTAATTTTAGTGGTTCTTGTAAACTTATTTAATATGCAATTTGGGTTCATATACTTGAGCATGATTTCTCAAAAAAGGGTTAACACTTAGTTCCGAGGTGCCATGTCATTATAATAATCCCTTTTTGACCCTGCCCACCAATCATGCAATACCTATTAAAC